ATTTTTTTTCATTCATTATATTTTTTTGGATTAAATTTTTGGAAAATAAAATTAATAAAGTATAAAAAAAAAAGGGGTTGTAAAAAAAAATAACAATTATTATTGAAAAGACAAAGAGTTGTAGAAAATTAAAAGAAAAGGAGTTGACGTAAGTTTTTTTTAAAATAAGAAAATTATTATCGAAAATACAAAGTGTGGAAGTAAATTAAAAGAAAAAGAGTTGAAATAAAATATTTTAAAATAAGAAAATTGCGTTGTAAGAGTTGATCGTTAATAAGGTAAGAAATATAAAGTGTTGATCTTGGTTTTAAAAAGTGAGAATTATCAGATTACCCAATATTCTACTTATTTCTTTCTTTTGACTCGACAAATTCGCCAAAAAGAAGAAGATATAAACAAATATTGGCAAAAATACACCAAACGTCATATACTTCCAACCTCTCTTGGCATCATCCCATGATACAAAATATTTTCTTTTCTTTCATAGTAAAACGGCTCAGCATTATAGCCAGGAAAATAATTGTCCTAAGCGTCGAGATTTCGCCAATAGATGTTCAATCCTATACGTTCCACCCTATTAGCAAAATCTTCAGGGGTTGCGTAATATTTTTCTGGCTAAAATATTGAGTTAGCCGGTTTTAAAAAATCGGCTCAAATTGAGCCGTTTAATAACACTAGTTGATATCCTTTTCATTCTTAATCATCAATCACCCATGTATCGAATCACGCACCATTATCCATAGCCGATCTCTGGCTTAAGTTGTCTTAGATTTTTTCCTTTCATATATCGACCACTATATAATGATCAAAGGCATCCTCCACGAATACATATATATATATATATACAACTTGATGGCATCTATGAATGGCTGCACCAGCCCTATCACTAGGACTTTATTTGGTCCTTTAATTTGTGCTGACCCAAGGATCTTATATATATCTTGTTTTTCGAAATCGAAGGAACACGCGCTCCCACGGCTGTTTTACATTTAAACTTTTCGTTGTTTATTTGAATAATTGAGCTTGACTTTTGTTTTCATTATTTTTTTTAAAATATTATTTATGAATTTTTAATTTTTTGTGAAGTATTCAAATTGTTACAAAGATATTTTTGTGCGGGGGGGGGGGTGAAGCCGAACCCGGGTTCAAGAATTTTTAAATTTCATTTTAATGGAAATTTCGATAACGGAACTTAATCGAAACCGATTTTCCCTAAGAGGGGTCCGAACCTGCCCCAGGTATATTACCCCGGGTTTAATAAGTTGTCCTTAAATCGGTCTCGGTTTGTTCCGTGATTTCACAAAAAAATGCCCAATCAAACGTGTAACCATGGATATTTTGTTACTTTTTTTTTTAGAAAATAAAATAATTAAAATTTCCCTAATGCACCATGTTTCATCGCTAACGTAATATTAAGCTGAAACAATTAATTGTCTTATAAAAAATAGATTATACAAAAAGTAAATCTTATCTCCTTTCTCGAGTTTTAAGTGTTTGCTAAAAACCCTATTAAGATTTTAGCCGAAATAATATAATTTAGGTCTCGAGATTTTCCTTCCGGGCTTATATACTATTTCGGCTAAAATCTTAACCGGGCCGCTTATTAAATTGTTTAAATCACCTAACTTTGACCATGTCCAAAATGATTCTGTCAAATATTTTTATCCTAATAGGCTAAGTCGATTATCATCCAACAATAGGTTTGGGCAATTAAAAGGGTCTTACCCACAAATGGTGATATGAGAGCAAAGACCAAATAAAAATGAGGCTGCTATAAAATATTTGCCCAAAAGGTCATAACATTGACAGTTCACACTGTTTGTGTGCAATTTATATAGAAAAAATTTGCCTAACAAAATACAGGATAAATTTATTTAGAGATTATGAAATTTTTTAATTAATTTCTTAAAATTATTGAGGTTAGCTAATTATGCTTTTAATCCTCGAAATGTTATATATCTCTCCTAATTCTAATTGGCCCAATTACTTTCACATAATGGATTTAAAATTGTGATGTAAAATATTTGAGTATTCTACAACAAAAATTGTAATAAAACACATGTGGCCATTAAACGAAAAATGTTTTAAACATTACTATAATATTTTTATTAACAATAAACATTACATTTTGATAGCAAGGACATTTACAATTAACTCTTGTATTTTATTAACAATAAAATGACATAACAACAAGAATGTTAACAATTATATGTTGATTAGATAAAATTACATCTTAATTAAAGATACATTTATAATTCCAATCATAAGGCACATTATTTTTTGTATATTTGCAAGAAAATCTTCTTTTATAAAAATTTTAAAATGTGTAATTTTTATCAGTACAAACCCCATGAGTGTACAGGCAGAGCTTTATCGATGACTACAAAGGCTATAAATATGGATATTGAGTCTGTTAGTGTAAATTTATAAAAAGGAGAACATAAAACACCCGAGATGGTAAATATTAGTTAATATATTTTTATTACAATTAAGATGAATCCATTTCATACTGTACCTATGTATAATGATAATGGATTTGTTCTTTGGGAAAGGTTTTAGGCAATTTTTTTTGTATATATATTTTTACTAGTCGTGCAATTATGAAATATTTTGCCAATAAATCTGGTGAAACCTCCTTATATCCAAAAGAGCTTTGATTGATAGCAGATTAGATTTTGATCTAGGAAAATTTTGGAGATCATCGAAAGAATATGCGGTTTTGCCTTTTTTATTAAATAATTTCCATATTCTTTTTTATAGTAACAATAAGTCTTGCAGAATAAGCCCCCGATTCCTGAAAGAGAAAATGATATGATTGATGCTTTAGACAATTTAGAATTATTATTGAATCAGAGAAAATATATTGCAGGTTTTTACTAGTAATTACACCCGAAATATAAAAATAGATCATCTGACACTAGCTGATATTTCGTTATTTTGTAAGGTTTCATTTTTGTGGATGCTAAAATATGATTTTGCAGTGCTTGGTAATGATAAAATTTCCTTATTATAACGTAACAAATCAAGATTTTAATGATTGGATACATACTAAAACTCCCATTAAAAGACAATAAAAAATTTTAATTATTAAATAACTATTGATTATATTATTAATTAATAAATTGAAATTGAATTATCATTTTTGAGGGCTGATATCTTTTTAATTTAAATATTCAATAAACATTTAATTTAATTACACTATTACGGAAAATTAAGGGTATAAATATACTTTATAAGCATTCATTTTGTGCCAACTCAAATATTTTAACCTCAATTGTGAAATAAACATGGGCATCCTCCAAACTGTGCATTCATTTTTAAGAAAAATAAATAAGAATATGTCTCATTAAACTGGTTATTACAAGATGGAACTTTTAACTCAGTGAAATAAATTGATGGCCTTATTAAGGAAAATGGCCACTTATTTGACGAATTTTGTGATAAATTCAAATACACACTCCCACTATAACTATTATGATTAAAAATTAAATTTCTTTAAATAAATTATTTTGTAAGCACCTTATAATCCAAAGATTAAAGGTATAAAGTTGAAATGCAATTTATATTTTTATAATTTTTTATTTCAATAGATGCGAACACAACTGTATAAATATATATAATATCAGCAATAATTCACCTACTATTTAAATCAGATTACAATTAAAATTAAATATCAACGAAGAAAGGATGCTTAAACTTATTTCCTTTTTAAGAAATAATCTTGATAAAGATAAAGCATAGTTGATTCCTTTAAAAAAACAACACACATTCAGATTGTTCTGATAAAGATATTAAAAAAAATGAATAGGTGAAGATTCTTTTGATTTTCAATATAAAGATTGTTATTTAATTTTACAAATTTCTCTAAATAAAATTTTTACTTGATAAATACAATAAAACCCTCCCATCCTCTAAGCCAGTTGAAAGTGTGTTTTAACACACCGAATGCTGTGTTGAGCACTGAGCACTCTTGTTTACCTGATTAAAATTGGAAGAATCAATTTTTTAAAAAAAATAAATTAAAAATTATTACAAAAATATCTTATATTTTATTTTATTTTATTTATAAATTGCATTACATTAAAAAGAAAAAATATAGATCCTATCTTATAATATATTATTTTTTGCAATATTTATTTATAGGAAGATTTTTTTTTATATATAATGTTAAATTTGGTAAAAAAAACGAGTAACCCGTTACATTTTTGATTAGGAAGAAACGCGCGTTTTTTATCACAAGATAAAGAATAATGGTAACGTTACTTTTTTCAGACTAACTAGCTATGAATAACATGTTAATTTTTTGAAGTAGCGCTTACAACACTACTATTTCATTAAAAATTAAATTGATGATCCCATAATAAATTGTTATTTTTTGTAATATATTCGTTTACTTCGATTAAAAAAAACTATCATAATTTACGATAAATGATATAAGCTATATAAAAATAAAATAATGTAATGTATTTTTTAAAAAAAATGAACATCAAGAGGTGCCGTGGAATGACCTATAAATTTTCATTGAAATTCGTTGGTGTAGGTAAAATCATTGCTGAGGATCACCCAAATTATTTTTGATCCTACACCAATATATTTAAATATTGATGCTACGAACTACCCCCTCCCCATCCTTAATCTTCATGTTGACGCTAAGCTTGGTCAATAAAAATATTTTGCAGGATTTGTGTGTCCTCATCTTTTTGTTTCAGGCTTCTCTAACAACCTCTAATACAAATTACAGTCTATTTCTTTTAATTATTATTATTAAATAAAAATTAATTGAATATAGATATCATTGAAACTAGCTCAATAACCTAAACCATATTTATCATTGATTTCTAGATTTGAATTGCAACTATCTTTAATAAGCAAAGAATGTTTTTTCGCAAATTAAACCTATTAAAAATAAATTTTAAGCTATTTTATTGATATATATATATACATAATATACACATAAACAGCTTCTTAAAATGTAAACCACTTAATTGAAAATTAAAATGATTAGATATCAATTTATTAGATCAAAATTCTTTTAAAAAAGTATTAAAATGTCATCTAAAAATTTACACATATTTAATTATTAATGAATACAAATTAATTTTTTCATTGGGATTAGCAAGTAAAAGATTAATTTTTAAAATTTTTTTTAGAAAAATAAAGCATTTTGTTAAATAAATATAATCAATAAAGTTGTTTATTAATTCACAATTTTTATTGTCCTTTAATGGGAGTTTTAGTATGTATCCAATTATTAAAATCTTGATTAGTTTCTTTATAATAAGGCAATTTTATCATTCCTTCAAACCAAGCACGAATTTTTGGGTATTTTCCAAAATCATATTTTGACATCCACAAAAATGAAACATTACAAAACAACGAAATGTCAGCTAGTGTCATTTGATTTCCTATAAACTATTTTTATATTTCTGTGTAATTACTAGTAAAACCTGCAATATATTTGCTCTGATTCAATAGTAATTCTAAATTATCCAAAGCATCAATCATATCATTTTCTCTTTCAGGATTCGGGAGCTTATTCTGCAAGACTTGAGGGTACTATAAAAAAATATGGAAATTATTATATAAAAAAGGTAAAACCGCATATTCTTTCAAAGCTGGCCAAAATTTTCCTAGATCAAAATCTAATCTGCTATCAATTAAAGCTCGTTTTTTTGCATCTTTAGGATATAAGGAGGTTTCACCAGATTTATCGGCAAGATATTTCATAATTGCACGACTAGTAAAAAAATATATATACTATAAAAAAAAATGCCTAAAACCTTTCCAAAAGAACAAATCCATTATCATTATACATAGGAACAGTATGAAATGGATTCATCTTAATTGTAATAAAAATTTAAAATATTATAATATTTACCTTCAAATATTCTGGTGTTTTATGTTCCCCTTTCTCTAAATTAATGCTTACAGACTCTATATCCATATTTAAAGCCTTTGTAGTCATCCATACAGCTCTGCCTGGACACTCATGAGTTTGGTCGCGATAAAAAGTACACATTTTAAAATTTTTGTATAAAAAAGATTTTATTAAGATTATATAAAATAAATGTGCTTTATATTTGAATTAAAAATATATCTTTAATTAAAATGTAATTTTATCATTAATCAAATTATAATTAACATCATTTGTATTAAAATGTCATTTTTTTGTTAATAAAATACAATAGTAATTCTAAATGTCCTTGGTATTAAAATGTAATGCTAATGTTATCCTTTGCTTAATGGCCACATGTGTTTTATTGCAGTTTTGTTGTAGAATACTTAAATATTTTATAATACAATTTTAAATCCTTTATGTGAAAGTAATTAGGTCAATTAGAATTAAGACAGATTTATTACTCTAACATATTGGGGATTTAAATGCATAAATAGCTAATAAATTAATCCTGAATAATTTAAGAAAATATTTAAAAATTTCTTATTTAATAAAAATATTTATATTGTATTTTGTTAGGCACAATACTATATAAAGGTCATTCCAAGTCATATCGACCAAAAAAATGAGTTCAATGCACGAAATAGTTATCTATTTTATATATTTAAGTAAATTCAAAATTTTAGAGTGCTAGCTAAGCCAGATCCAAAGATATGGTGGTCTGTATTGGGCTTTATTTTTTAATCCCAGTCCAGCCCGAAATTTTTTTTAAAAAAGTTTTGCCAGCCTGGTCGCAACCCCAAATTTTTTTTAAAAAGTTATGCTGACCCATCCCAAACCCGAAATTCTTTTTAAAACATTTACCAGCCTGACCCAGCCCAAATTTTATTTAAATATAGAAATTAATTTTTTAATTACTCAAAATAAAAGACATGTTTTATGGCATCTAGTTTCTATATATAAAATCAAATATTTTTATTTTACATAAACAATTCAGTACATAATTGAATAATTTAGATATATTTAGAAAAATTTCCAAATCCTGACCTGTAGAAATTTTTTTTTGAAAATATTAGCCAGGCCAGGCCTACTTTTGCAGATCTCTACAAAGATATATGCCTTCAAAGTCACAAATTGCTCATTGCATGATTTCATTAAATCTTGTTTTTTTTTAAAAAAAAATGCTTAAGATATTATAATTTATATATTGTTTTATAGCCCTTAAAATTTTACATTGGAAAATGTTGAAATAATTAAAAAATTCCAAGTATTTTCTTATTTCCGGTGAAATTAATAAATTAACATTGTTAGGAAGGGATTTATTTTTGGGTGTTGATATTCTCTAAAAAGGTTTATTACCTTTATATTAAACTATTTAATAAAAAATATTGATAGCCAATATTATATTATTAATAAAAATATGAATTGTATTGGGATTAAAATTAAAAAATCAATTGAGTATAACCAATATGATGTCCTGGAGCAATGAGCAGGCAACCAATAACAGATATTACTATTATTAGGATATTAACTATTATAAAAAAACATATCTCTTATTTTTATCGTATTCCATTTTGTGATGATTATTAGGTATTCCTAAGGCCATAATTTGTAGATATATCCTTTCATTGTTGTTTATCCACTATCTTTATTTTTTTGACCAATCAATTCAGCAAAAAGCCAAGTAAAATATTTCACTGCTCAGATGGATCATCTGCACAATATAAAAACAATTTTATTTTATAAATCTGTGGTCATATTTTGCTGTAGCAGCTGAATGGCATTGGTTCAGCTACATCCCATGGAAAAGGTCCACATGACAGCCTTGGTGGAATATTAAATGGATTAGCACAATGGTCAAGCCTTCGGTGCACCAGTTCTGGAGACATTTTAATGCCAGCTGATTTATATATCAGTTCGCAAAACAAAACATGCCATCATCAAATTTTAACAATGTTAAAATTTGATGATGGCATGATAACCAACGGATAATACAATTTAGAAGATATTAAACAACGAGAACGATTCAATTTAGCTTGCCCCAATCCAGGAACTCGCGAAATACATACTATCCTTTGAGTTTAAGTAAACTTAAGTCAAAAATATATTCATATGCAGAGGACTTTTAAATTAATAATATCTCAAATGCTTATATTTGTCTTTTGCAGATATTAAGATGTGTTTATGACCATTTTTGGTGGTTAGCACAGTACTAAAAAAGAATGAAATTTGAGAAATATATTTCCTTTTTACATTACCGTGGACCACTCACCTTCCTTCTTTTTACCCCACAATTGTGGAAAAGCTATGATAGCCCATTAATCAAATAATAAAATAGATCCCATAACAGTGACAGGCCGTACTTCCTCGGAAACGGGAAATGGGATATGATTAAAATGAGTGGTATTTTTTTTATAATTGTTAATATATAAAATTTTAAAAATATGTTTTTTTTAAAATACAGTGTTCTAGTAACCATATCCATATGGGGTGCTTCCTTATTTATTGCCCCTGGACATCATATTTATATAATCGCTTTTTTTAAATTTTATTACTTAATTATATTATTAAAAAATAGAAATTTAATGTATCACAATAATTTTCTCCATTACTTATCTAGCTTCCATCATGTCATCTAAGAGGAAGCTCTAACTACCATATAGTTTTATGAGTTGGATTGGTCGTTTATATTCTCTTCTTCAAGAATTGTTAATTTGGTGAGGCCTATAAATTTTTTCTTATTACTCCATTCTATAAAACATTGTCTAAAATGGTAACAGAAAGTTATATTAGTTTCATGACCTTTTGTCAATGTAAGTTGCTAAGAATTATATAGCCTGATGTGGTTTTTAAAAACCATTATCAATTACCGCATATGCATGAATTAATTAACCTTTTTTATCACTTGCAATTCTTTAGACGCAAAATTTTTTTATATCAAGTATCGAAAATATTTTATACTGCAATAAATAGATTTTGTATTAAAAAATATTATTTTTGGATATGTCTTGTTTTGTCTTAATTATTTATATGACAAAATATGATATTCAGAATAATTGTTTAGAGTTAGCAAATTTTAAAAAAGTATAATATATTAATATAAAACCCGGCCGAAGCCCGGGTAAAAGCAGGCAGAAGCCCCACAAATTGGGGGTGCCCTTTATAAAATTTTTTTAGTTGAGCCCCTTGAGATTGTAAAGGCTAGCGACTCTCATGGGAAATACGAAAGCACTTGGAATTTTTTAAATTTTTTTTTCGATATTTTCCAAGGCTATAATATGATATATTATTTGTAACTCTATCTTAAGTATTTTATTTTTTTAAAAAAAAATAAGATTTAATGAAATCACGCACTTTCGCGATCTTCGTCTTTAAAGACGTCCGTTATATCTTTGGATCCGATTGAGCTGGCGTTTTAAAATTTGGATTTTATACGCTAATAACTAACATGCCAAGTTTCATTCATTTTTGTGATGGTCGGCCGAATCACTGGTCGATTTGTCGTGGAATTAATTACCCATAAGCAATAATAATGGTGTGTTAGAAAACAAAAAAAAATTGAAATGTGGAAATGGAAAAACAGCTGATTAAAAAGATAAGACTTTTTTTAAAAAAAAATTCTGATTAATATTAAATTTTTTCGAATAAATACAAAAAATAAAAGGTGTTTCTTAAATTTGAACGGAAGTTGAATTCGAACGCGTTCGTCAAAAATAAAACGAACTTCCTTTACAACATTAATATACGGTGATTTAGGCTAGGAATATCTTATGGAATGCTAACGGGCTTTAACCGATCAGAATTAATCGGCTCAGGCTTAACCTTAACCAAAAAAAAACCAGAATAAATTGGTTAAGGCAGCCATTAAAAACGGAAATGACTTGGTCTTAGCCAATAAAAATCGGCTACGGCTGATTCGATTAACAAACTAATAAGTTTGCGCAATTAAAAGGATCCCTGGTTGAAGGATACGTAAAAGTTAGCCAAAGGCCCGCAAAATACTAGGCTGCTGTAAAATATTTGCACACGAGGCCTGGACATCCACAGTTCACCCTTTGTATGCAATTTTATATAGAAAAAATTTGCCTAACAAAAATACAGGATAAATATTATTTAGAGAATATGAAAATTTTAATTAATTTTTAAAGAAATTATTCGGCACTTATTTGTTAGCTAATTATGCTTTTAAATCCTCACAAATGTTAAGAGTCATATATCTGCCTTAATTATTCTAATTGGCCTAATTACTTTCACATAAAAGATTTTAAATTGTAAAATATAAAGTATTTGAGTATTCTACAATAAAATTGCAATAAAACACACGTGGCCATTAAGCAAAGGATGTTTAACATTACTTTTATATTTTCATTAACAATAAAATTACATTTTAATTATCAAGACCATTTACAATTAACTGTCGTATTTTATTAACAAAAGAATGACGGTTTAATATCACGTGAACCATCAGAATTATATTGATTAATGTTAAAATTATATCTTATATAAAGCAATTTTTATATTTGCAAGTAAGACTTCTTTTTTTTTTAAATAAAAATTTTAAAATGCGTAATTATAGGATAAAACTCATGAGTGTCCAGGCAGAGCTGTATGGATGACTACAAAGGCTTTAAATATGGATATCGAGTCTGTTAGTGTTAATTTGGAGAGAGGAGAAAATAAAACACCCGAATATTTGAAGGTAAATATTATTTTAATATTTTAAATTTTTCATTAAAATCAAGATGAATCCATTTCATACTGTGCCTATGTATAATGATAATGAATTTGTTCTTTGGGAAAGGTTTTAAGCATTTTTTTATTGTATATATATATTTTTACTAGTCGTGCGATTATGAAATATCTTGCCAATAAATCTGGTGAAACCTCTTTATATCCAAAAGATGCAAAAAAACGAGCTGTGATTGATAGCAGATTAGATTTTGATCTAGGAAAATTTTGGCCAGCATTGAAAGAATATGCGGTTTTAGCTGTTTTATATAATAATTTCCATTTTTTTTTATAGTACCCTCAAGTCTTGCAGAATAAACCCCCCAATCCTGACAGAGAAACTGATATGATTGATGCTTTGGATAATTTAGAATTACTATTGAATCAGAGCAAATATATTGCAGGTTTTTACTAGTAATTACACCCGAAATATAAAAATAGATTATTAGGAGATCAAATGACACTAGCTGACATTTCGTTGTTTTGTAATGTTTCATTTTTATGGATGTCAAAATATGATTTTGCAAAATACCCAAAAATTCATGCTTGGTATGAAGGAATGATAAAATTGCCCTATTATAAAGAAACGAATCAAGATTTTAATGATTGGATACATACTACCCATTAAGGGGCATTGATAATTTTGAATTAATAAACAATTTATTGATTATATTTATTTCACAAACCGCTTTATTTTTCATGAATTTTTTTTTAAAATTTGTCTTTTTTTAAATTATTTTTTAACTTAACTATTATTAATCACAATGAAGAAAATTAATCTGTATTCATGTATATATAAATATGTAAATTATTACATTTTCAAACTTTCCTTAAAAGAATTCTGATTAAATAAATTTTTATCTGATAATTTAATTGTATTTTATTTTAAAAGTTGATCTACATGTCCCCTTAATACCCCATATTTTCATTTTGGTTTATTTGATATAGCGTATTGCTATATTTTTTTGTTTAAGATAATGCCTTGGTCCTATTTTTTTGACTCGAAATATTTTGTACCAAATTTTGTCTCCGATATTCCATAGTTCTGTTTTTTAGGTAAAGTGTCGTAAAAAATATAGTTCGTTGTCTTTTTTTTAAAATATATTTTAATTAGTCCCATTTGGTTCTCATGTACATGATTAAACATTACGTTTCTTTGAAAGAATATCTGATTGTGGTTAGGTGCATTTCTTCAATCGAACAAAAAAAAATTCAAAAGCGATATATAAGTTTATATCATTTTGCTCAATGATGCACCTTTTCATGATGTGCATCATATTAGATCTCCAGAAACAATGTAAATATTGCGATAGAGCATGAAAATAGATTTTTTTATATATTAAGATTAGTCAGACATACCGATATTATTTTGCCGATAAGAATTAATTCGGTCATAGAAAAGATTATTTAGCTAAGGGGTACTTGTTGCAGGCATGAAAAGAACTATTCTACCTAAGTCAATTCATTTACAGAGTTCCAATCGCACTCCCCCTAGGATTGAAAGCTTTCGTGCAATATATGATTGTTGTCTGAGCCATATTTGCAATTGAAATTGTGTTTGGATCGATTTTACATGCTTATAAGATGAGTATTGATGCGATATTTTTTATGGTTATAAAACCTTTCCCTAGACCGCTTAATCGAGGCTACTGCAGGATAATAAATAATCCCCTTATTTTACTTAAATAAAATGTATAAAATATATATAAACCAAATCTTCATTATTGATAAATTTATTTATTTTAAAAATTTAAATTCATGTATAACTATTTTCAAAAAAATTTCTAATATATGAAAAGAGACACAAATGATTTAACTCATTCTATAAAATCGGAGATAGAACTTCCCCACAATACATGAATAATTATATTGTAAAATGGCGATTTGTATATTTTTGTTTTAAAAAAATAAAATTCTTTGGGTTCTGATGTAAGGACTCTTACGCCTATATTTTTTGAAAATTTTAAAGTTTCGCATGACATATGTCCAAGGCAAGAGATAACGATTGGTAAAAAAAAAAATTTCTTAATTTCTTTTTCTCAGCGATATCAACCGGGTCAGAATTTAAATTTTATGGAAAATGAAGAGACGCATGTGACAAATTAATGATTTACCAAAAGACCAAGGCACTTAAGTTAAGCCATCTGGTCTTAGGCCATCATCTAATGATAAATTAGCAGACTCCAGGATGCTTGGTATTCGGGCCCTCGTAAAAGAATTACTAATAACTTAATTAATTGCTGCGTGTCTTGCATGTCTGCCTTTACTATATAAACAATTAAAACCATGCCTTCCTTTGGAATCAACTATTATTTTACATTTTATGCATATATATTGTTGAACTATGTTACATCCAATTCGATGGCCTATCAACTCTAGATTGTTCATCTAATAAGAGATTACCCTAGGTTAAGACTTGGTATGGCTTTCAGCCATTCATAATTACTAGTACAGTCAGCATTTTGTAATAATTGAATATATTCTAAAAAGTGGGGGGGGGGGGTTGATGAGAGTATTAAAAAAATTTTTTTAATTAAACGTTCAAAAATTGATTGATAACAGTTTCAGTTAGAGCTAAAGAAATTCTAATTAATTGCAAAACTCACGGATCATTTTATTAAAAGATAATAATATAATTCATAACATCCTTATTAACTATTTAATATTTTCAATGCCGTTGAATTAGCAATTAAAAGTAGCTCAATGTGTAATATATTAACTTTAAATTACTTGTATTTTTGTTTAAGGATACAATTTTTGGTAATTGAATTGATTTCTGGTAAGTATACTTTCTATCAATATAAAAAAATATTATTGTTAAAGTTAAATCATCTTTTTCGATCTTTTCATTTTGATTAAAATAAAAATTATATATTTTATTCTTATATAAACTTTTTATATATCTCAAACACCACATTGGCAGCGACTAAGTTTTAAGAGACGTGTTAAATTAAAAGGTTTAAATAGAATAAGAATATTATAGGATGCCTAACAAAGACTCGAAATTAGTTCTGAAGAAATATTAAGGAACGTCAAGTCAATTCCATATTCCTAGAATTTTACTCAATATTTTATTTTTTAATAAATTGACCAAATACCGGTGGTAAAAAAATATATCAGATAAAATTTATGAGTCTATATAAATGTTAATTAAGGAAATTGTTTTCAATTGATTTTTATTATTTGAATTGAACATAACGATTAGTTTTTGAGCTTATGAATCTATAATCTATTTCTTTAAAACTAAAGTTTAACAAGAGGATATCCCGAAAAAATTATAGCATTAATATAATATGAAACTTTCATATATCTTAGAGAAGGTTAATATTCAAATTCAACCATGGATAGGGAGACTTTTTTTTATTTTTTATTGTCTCGATACTATTACATATATATTTATAATATAATACAAATAAAATCGTGTTTTTTTTGTTTATGACTATAAGCATTGATTGAGGGATGATCTTGTAATTCGACTTGTGTTCCAACCCAGAAAGAATCGACTGAACCTAACCTAAGTACTTCGGTGCTATAAGTATAAAATATAACTGATCAAAAGTTAGCGCATGATTTCGCTAATAGATATTAAAAATGGGTCCTATAGTATTTTAATAAAATCTGATTTTTATTTCGTTAACGCTTAGTTTTAACATTATCTCTCAGAGAAAGTAATTTATTTGAACTCTTTTTTTTTTGATAAATAATTTTATAGAAATGTTTTTATAATATAACTAACGGGATTTAACCATTTTATTAACGTTGGTACATACTGTATCGCACATTTAATCACAGCACAATGGTACACTAATGGAGCTACTAAAAGGGACTTTGCTATAGACACCGTCAATTCTTATTGCATAATAAAATTTTTATAAAAAAATTCCTCAATCGTAAGCAAACGCCATTTAATCGTTAAAAAGTATTAAATTAGTTAAATTATTTTAAAAGAAAACGCAAAATCGCATGCATTAAAGAAAAATAGTTGTGTTTGGAAGGATATAAGCTGTATCTGTTTTATCACGCTTTAAAAAAAAACTTAAAAATTAGTATTACATGACCTGTAGAATACATCGGATATAACAAAAAAAAAAGAAATAAAATAGTATTCAATAACTTAATTTTAGCGAAAATAGCTTTAAAAATAAAATTTTTTATCAAAATAATAAATGAATCACATAAATTAATATAAATAAGTATACCAAGCCAAAAGAGGGTATTATATTTATTTTTAGATTTTTGAAAATAAAAACTTATAGTAATTTAAAACTTAAATTATATGTTTGACTAAAATAAAAAAAATAGTTTAAAATTAAATTTATAACAAAAAATATTAAATTTCTGATTATCCTCTTCAATGGATATAACCATTTACCAATGTGATGGTGAATAATGATGTTTTTTTAATTATTAATTAATTTCCAATTTGTCGAATATTATAATTATTTTTGTTTAACTATATAAAAATTTAAACTTTTCTGCGATTTTATTATTAATCATAATATTAAATTAGAAAGGTATTTTACTATTATTTGGAAAATATTAAGATTCCATTTCAATCTAAAAATATTTGAAAAATATAAGCCCTAACCCTATTATAATCGGGTTCACATATCTAATCGTGACCTAGAGTCTTAAAATAGCCATTTTGAAAAAATATGGGTGTAAGATTAAAATAATATTATAATTACAGCTGGGTTCTTTCTTTCTTTCTTTCTTCCTTCCTTCTTTCTTTTTTTCTTACTTTCGTGTCAATCGCAGAAAGATAATTTCTGAAATCAAATTTTTAAAATGTAAAAATCGCCTTGTTGTAAAGGTTGAAAGATTCCTCATAATATAATCACTAATTCCTTATTCCAATATATGGGAAGATATATAAAAAAAATACATTGCTAAATAATTTTATGAGTAAAATTTTAAATAATTTACATTAATTTATGCTTTAATATAATTTTACAAAAAATTTAATTCTAAAAATGACGTGCTTAAATAAAAATGTTTATAAAATTTTTCTCTAGATAAGCATTTTTTTTGTTTTCTCTTTTGTGTAAATATTTTTTTTATTTTCATTTATTATTAACAAATTTCTTGGAAATTAAGCAAGAAATTGAATAAATTTTTTTTTATTTTTTATAGGTAAATCGGAGTTATAAGCAATAATATTATATAATATAATATTAGTCATATTACTAAAAATCATTTGTTACTAATTATATAGTTTGGGTAAAAAAAAATTAAAAATTCAATCTCTAAAAATGAATAAAGTGCTACTGATACTTTCCATAATCATTCTGACAATATTCCAATTCGATGGTGAATAAATATATATTTTTTATGTCATCAATAATTTATAGCAAATATTTTTTTTAATTATTCTTTTAAAATTATTTTAAAACTTCTAAAAGATTTATTAATATTTAAAATTTAATTTAAGAAAACTCAATTTCTATTTACAATTATCAGACTTTCAGGCCAGCTCGAACCGAACTTAGAAACAGCGGATATAACCGGTCTGGCAAAATTTTAATAGAAATATTATGTTAAAAAAATCAATGCTGAAAAAATAAAATAGATTTTAAACCATAAAAGTAGTTATTAAATTTTAAATTATATCAATAATCATACCAAGGTTTCAAATTATTTAGACAGACCCTAAAAATATTGTCTTCAGGAAGTCTCTGATAAAATTGGAAATTAGTAGCATCAATATTGATAAAATTTATTTAAAAAATTTGTTGTCTATTTTTTGTAGTTGCAAATAGCCTTAAATAGAAAACAATTAAATTAGAATTTTAAATTTTAGAGGGCTAGTTAGTATCTATATAACATCTTCTTAATCATCATTGAGTAATCTTTTTAAATTTTGTTTTTTAAATTTTTAGACTGAATTTATCATTATTATTACTAAAAAGTATTTAATATTCGATAGAATAATAAACTAATGGTACAAATTTAAGGATCCATCATTTATAATTTTAAATAATAACAACCATCATAAAACAAACTTTAGTAATAAATTTAATATAAGTTAACTTTGATATATGTTAAACAATGATGACTGTAATATTGAGAAAAGGACTTGAAAGATAATTTTTAAAAAATTTATATCAACACAATATCAGACCTTGGATAGAATCTTAAAGTGGTGACATTTTAAAAATCAGTACTCTTAGCTTAAAAATAAATATAAATTATAAACCCGATCTGGGGAAATTTTAAATCATATATAATCGGAAAATAATATTAACAGATCATTTGCCATTCATCTATTGCCTTACATTTTAATCTCTCTTTTAAAGGGTTAAACTATTTTCAAATAATGCAGTAGACATTTACGGCATTTTTAAAAATGTCATTGATGTAAATATAAATGCCTCATATATTTTAAGTGAATTTAAAATATAATTTACGGCATTTTTAAAAATGTCATTGATGTAAATATAAATGCCTCATATACTTTAAGTGAATTTAAAATATAGGGATATAGAAGTACCCTTAAATATGAATGAATATTATTTCTCATATTTTATAAGTGTTAATTTATAAAAATTTAAATAAATTGTATCAATATATTATGTAATTAATATTAAATTGTTCAAAAATACTATATATATAATATAGAAATAATTATTTTTTTATATAAACACAAAATGTTTTTAACGCGTTGTGTAAAGTTTTTCAGGGTTTTGATATTCAAAAATCAATTTTTCTAGAAATTAAGTTCAAGAGATTAGAATAAAAAAATATTTATCATTTTCTTATAAATTATACAAAGATATTAAAAATTTAATCCAATCAAAAAGAGCCAACTCTAGATAAATAATTTTTTTTATCAGATTTTCATTTTTTTTTCATTTTTATATTAACAAATTTTCTTGGAAATTTTTATAAAAAAATTTATTTTTGTATTTTTTTTTATCTTCTTTAAATTATAGTTTAAAAGCAATAATATTATAAAAATATATTTTATCGAGTCATCAAAACATTTTTTTTAAATTTTTTTGTTAATTTATAAGAAAAATAAATTTTTTTTTTTTTACTAAGTTAAAAATAAAGTGTAATTCATTCTAAATTATTAATAATTATACAGTTGAGACAAATATAAAATTGGCTTTAAAATTAAATATAAAAAAACTATGAATAAACTGCTATTGATTCTTTCCTTATTGATTCTGACTCTATGCCAATTTGATAGTAAGTAAATCTATAACATATTCATATTAAAAACATAATATTTTGGACGTTTAAGGGTATGTCCTGGTTTCGATGGAACTTATTTTTGTTTTAATACATAACAGCTCTTGAAGGACACCCTTTTTTCGGTTTGTTGGTTGCTGTTTTGCATAGTTATATTTTGTATTTTTTTTCTTTTGTTATTTTGTTTTTTAATGTGTGTTTTGAAAAACAAATTATAAATCCGATCAGATACGAAATATTATATTGTAAAATTAATTTGGAAATCGTATTTGCTGTTCATATAAAAAATGATATTTCTTTCTTTCTTTGTTTCTTTCTTTTTCTTTTTTCTTTCTTTTTCTTTCTTTTATGTACTAAAAATTTATTACCTTCGAATTTTGTTTTAAATTTTACAGAATATAATACTAAACATATTTAATATTCAAATTTTTTTTTATGTTTAGCTGTTACTCCGAGTAAATATTTTATCTATCTTAATTATTCAATAACGATTACAATCAATGTTCTTTGCTAAATATCTAAATAACTTATAATATTTTAAAGAACATATATAAATAATTATTAATAAGATTAATTATATTTATATATATACATTAAACAATGATGACTTTTTTATTGTAATTACTATGGTTGGTTGAAAAGGGCAAACCTTTCTACTATCTATATATAAAATCGTGAGACTATTAGATAATATTTTGTTTAGCTAAAATCTTCCTAATTATTTTTTATGAAGTTTTTGACATCACTAATCATAATTATATCATACATATTTTTTATTTCTAGAGAATAACAAGAAAAATAAATGTATATAGAATATATATTAGAATAGAAAATTTATAGTATAGATATTCAAAATTAAATTCATCTTTTTAACTTTAAAATGGTAGAATTGAATCAAAATACTTATACATTTATATATCTCTAAATTTACAAATTATGGTCTATTTAATTATAATGATCTTTTAATGACTTAAACATTCATATACCAAATATTTATATATCAAATATATAGATGATGGTTACCTTTATAATTTATGAAATTATAGTTGTCAAAATTAATTTCTATGATAATTTATGCTATATATAATTACCATTTTTTTTATTATTTTAAGTCAACGCCAGACAAAAGGGTAAACAAAACACTATTTAATCAATTTTTAAGAGCGATTATATTCATATATTTCTAATCTAAACAGAATGAACGTTCAATATGGCTCTTTTTTTAAAAACTTCTGAAACTTAATGTAATGAAGCGGTGTAAACTTGAAATAAAATATTAAATTATGGCCTTTATTAGGAAAATGTTTTGAATATTTATTAAAAATATAATGTTAAAAAAATTAATATTATTCGGTGGGTTATACACAGGGGATTTACCAATTTTATATATTAATTTAGTAAATTTTTATTTTTTTTTTTATTTTTTAAAATATTTATTAAATTCGTGATGTATAAAACATGATAAAATAAAATAAAAAAAAAAGTATTTTTATATTAAATTATTTTAAAATAAAATAATAATATCAATCATCAAAATTTAGTTAGGATATTTATAGTTAATAAAATGTTATTAAATTTTTAAAGCAATATTGAGCCATGATATGGAAACTAATATTTATAAAATTGCGAGGACTAGCCTATATTTATTTTTTCAAATTTATGATATCCACGAACATCAGAATCGTTAATAGTATTTTGCAAGACTACAAAAAATATTTTTGGTTGGAAAAACTCCGGTAAGAAAAACCAAAAAATTAAAACAGCGGGGAAAAAAAATTATATGAGGAATGTTGTTAAAGGGCTCGTTTTGAGTCTAATTTTGAAAACGGCTAACAATATTTTGGCAAGGAAAATATTGCCATAAGCCTAGAGATTTCGATAATATAATGGTCTAGACCTTTGTTCTCTATGAGATAAATCTCTTGCATATTATTTCTCTGGATGAAGTATTTAGTTAAACTTTTTAATCACACTAAAAAAATTAGTATTATGTAAGCATCGAAATTTGGTAGAGTTATCCAAGCATTTCTGCCAAACCTATGTGCAAAATCCTTAGGATTACATAATGTTATTTTGGTTATAATTTTAATAGGGCCGATTTATAAAACTAACCCGAATTGAGCTTTTTAATAAACACTATATATAATACATAAAAATATTATCATATAATAAGTATATACCAAGCCAAAAAAGGGCAATATATTATTTTTAAATTTTGTAAAAAAAAAATCTTATTTAAATTTAGAACTTTTTAATTATACTTTTAATTTAAAAAAATAGAAGCTTTTATTAAAATTAAATTTCTAACAAAATGATTATATTTTCTGATATCCTTCTTCAATGATCTTGGCCATTTATGATGATGATTTTTGATGTTTTATTAATTAATTTCCAATTTGTCATATATTATTTATTTTTGTTTTATTTATATAAAATTTATACTTTAACCGTGATTTAATTATTATTCATATAATTAAATTAGAAAGGTAAATATTTAGATCTCAATTTAAAATCATTGTAGACATATAGGCCCTATTCCTATCATATTGGGGTTAACACATCTAATCATGACCTAGAATCTTAAAAAAGTTATTTTTAAAAATATGAGTATAAGACTAAAAATAAAATATTAATTTCAACCATACCCGAGAAATTTTTAATTATACAAAAACTAATAAATAATTTTATGGGCCATGTGATGTCTTATATTTTTATAATTTCTCTTTAAAAGGATTCATAAAACTATTTTTCAAATATCCGTATATTTGTCATATTAGGATATGGAATGCATGGGGATCTTAAATTTTAATTATTTTCTGACAATGATTATTAAATTTAATTTAACCGAAATGTATTCAAGGCATATGTGGAAATAGCGAAAATGTGAATTTTAGATATATTGCAAATCTCTATAAAAAATTGGTAGAAATTAAGAATAGCATAAAAGTTCACAAACAAGGAACAAACTTTTCAATCAAATTTTTAAATCGCCCTAAAATAAGGTGATTTAAAGGTTGAAAGGTACCTAATCATCACTAATTCCCTATTCCAATCTTAGGCATATATATAAAAAAAATATATATTGCTAAATAAATTTTTATTAAACAATAATTCTAATAATTTTTAAGTATTGAATATATAAAATTTAAAAAATTTACATTAATTATACCTTTTATATAATTTTACGAAAAATTAATTAAAAATTGAAACGAGGAGAAAAAAAATAATTAAAATTTAATTCTATTAAAATGACGTGCCAAATAAAAATGTTTATTAAATTTTCTCTAGATAAACACTATTTGGCAAAATTTCTCTCTTGTGTAAATATTTTTTTATTTCCATTTAATATTAACAAAAATCTTAAAAAATTAAGCAAGAAATTTGATAAAAATTTTTTTTATATATGTAGATAAATTTGAGTTAAAGGCAATAATATTTTATAATATAATATATTAGTCATCAAAAAAATAATTTGAATTATTTACTAATTATATTAGCTTGGGTGAAAAAAAAATACTAAAAATGATAAAACTGCTATTGATTTTTTCCATCACGGTACCAATATTCCAATTCGACGGTGAATAAATATATATACTTTTTTTATGTCATCAATAATTTATAACATATTTTTTTTATTATTCTTTTAAAATTATATAAACTTTCAAAAGTTATTAAATATTTAAAATTTAAAGTAAGAAAACTCAATTTCTATTTTACAATTGTCAGACTAGCAGGCCCGCCTGAACCGAACTTAGAAACAACGGATGTAACCGGTCTGGCTAGGGTTTTTTTTAATAGTTAATGCTATTTTTAAAAAAATAAAAATTTATTATAAACCATGTCCGATGTTATTAAATTTTAAATTATATCAATAATCATACCGAGGTTTCATATAATCAATCCTCAAAACCGTACGGATGCCAAAATTGTTTCTAATAAAAAATACATTTTAAAATCTAGATATGGTAGAGGACATAAATGGATAATAAATATTAAAAATTTAAAATCAGGCTTAACATTAAAATAACTTGGGTTAATCAAAAAAAAAGTTAAAAAAAAAATTAAATTCAGTTCTAAAAATAGGAGAAAAATTTCTTTTTACACAGATTCTACCCTACAAATATTGTCAGTTTATGATAAAGTTAGAAATTAGTTGTATCAATATTAATCATTAAAAAAATTTGTTGTTCTGTTTTTCAATTTAAAAAGTGGTAGCATATAGTTTTAATAGAAGAAAATTTAATTAGAATCTTAAATCGTAGAGAGCTAGTTATTATCTATATAATATTTTCTTATTTATTAAGTAATCTTTTCCCTAATAATGGCTCTAAATAATTCTTATACCATTGAATTTTGTTTTATAAAATTATTTATTAATTTTTAACCCGAATATATTATTATCAATAATACTAAGCGTTATTTAATATCCGATATAATATAAATTTATGTTTAGTTGATCCTTCCTTGCTTAAAATATCTGGCTTACAATATAATGATTACAATCAATATGATAGACCTATAAAAAATAATAATATAATATATATTTTTTAATCCTCTGTAATTTTAAATGAAAATCGAAAATAAAAATTTCATATAATAATAAATTAATAATTAAAAGTACATTATCCGTCATTGTACTGCCTCATAACAAACATTGATAATTAATATATGTTAAATTATATTTAAATATGTTAAACAATAATGACTGTAATTATTGAGGAAAGCCTTTATTAGATAATTTTTTAAAAACTAAATTCAACATTAACTCAGGATAAGAGTCCTAATAGCATTTTAAAAATTAAGGCATAGCTTATAATATAAATATGAATTAAAACGCGATTTAGGAAATTTTAATGATTGTAAATCCTTTAACGAGCGATTTAAAAAATTTTAATATCCGATTTAACCGGAAATATATTCTAGCATGTGTAGAGTATTTACACTATAAATTTCAATCAACTTCAACCATAGACATTTTAGTATTTATTTAATTTATATGAAAAATCCATGTAAAAAATTAATATATATTAGAAATAGTTCCAAAGATTTGGCTGAAATTGGCTGATATTTATGGGGAATCTACACATTCTAAAATAAATTTCGGGTAAAATCGAATTTTAAATTTTTTTAAATCGCATTCGTTAAAGGAATTAAGATCAAAAGATTCCGAATCCCCATACGTCATATATTCTAATTATTTCTAAAATAATTTAATCGATCATTTGCCATGTTCAAATAAATTTATTTATAATAGAAATAATATATATATATATATATATAACGATTTTAACACGTGTAAACTTTTCCAGAGTTTTTATATTCAAAAATCAATTTTTGTAGATATTAATTCAGAGAGATTAGAAATAATAACATATTTTTATCATTTTCTAAACAATTAAAATTTATTCCAATCAAAAATAGCCAAATAAAAATGTTTATAACATTTTCTCTAGATAAATAAATTATTTTTTCCAGAATTTTCTCTTCTTGTGTAAATATGCATTTTACTTTTTTCATTTATATTAACAAATTTCTTGGAAATTCATGCAGAAAAAAATTTATATATAAAAAAATTGTTTTTATCTTCTTTTTATTTAAATAAATAGGAATTTAAATATTATAAAAATTAACTAATCATCAATACATAATTTTTAAAAAAATATTTTTTTGTTAATTTTTAAGATAAAAAGAAAATTATACCTAAGTTAAATAAAAGTGTTTTATTCATAACTAAACTATTATAGTTGGAAACAAAAAATAATTGGCTTTAAAATTAAATATATAAAGAAAAAATGAATTTGTAAAGATTCTATCCTTATTGATCTGAATCTATGCCAATTTGACGGTAAGTAAATATATTGTATTTTATCAGAAAAATGATATTTTGAACTTTAATGGTACATGTTCTGGTTTCGATCTAACTTATTTTTGATTGACACCTAACAGCTTTTGAACTAAGACATCTTATTTTTAGGTCTTTTTGGGATTTAGTATTCGATTTTACATTTATTTCGTATTTTTTTTTGTTGTATTGTTTTGTTTTATTTTATGATGGTTTAAAAAAAACAAATTAAACCCGATCCGATGCGAAATAGTATATTAAAAAATTTACCTCTAGGAAAATCATATTTGCTTCTCATATACAAAATTTCTTTCTTTCTTTCTTTCTTATTACTTTCTTATCGATTCGATTAGTAGCATTAAAATAAATTTAACCAAAAGAAAAAAATAAAAAAAAATTAACCATAGCCTAAAAGTTAGGTTCATTCTGCGAATAATTTAAAATTTGAAATTAATTGGTGTCAATAATTAAAAATTGGTTTTTTTTTCGATTAAAAAAAATTAATTGCTCGAAAAAAATAAATTAGAGTCTATCAAGATTGGATTATTATTTTATATATGCATTAGCTATAGATAGCTCTATTACCTTAATATTTTGTTTTTAATTTGATAAAATATAATACTAAACATATTTAATATTCAATTTTAATACAATAAATTTTTTTTTATGTATAGCTGTTACTTCAAGTAAATAATAACTTTTACAATATAGTTATTAACAAGTCCTGAAGGAAGGAAGGAAGGAAAGGAAAGGAAAGGACTCTTTCTCTTCTTCTTTCTTTCTTTCTTAATATTTTAATAGAACATATGTAAATAATTATTAATAAGATTAATTATATTTATACATAAATTTAACATTGATCACTTTTTATCCTAATTATGAACCTTTCTACATTCTATATAAGAAATTGTGAGACTCTTAGATAATATTGTTTTGGCTTAAATCTTCCTAATTATTTTTATGAGGTTTTTATACAACAATATTATATATATTTTTTAATATTTATAGAGAATGACAGCATCAAAGAAAAGAAATGTATTACAATATATATTAGCTATAGATATTCAATATTTCTTTTTAACTAATTAACATTGAAGAATTAGATGAAAATACTTATACATTCATATAACTCTAAATAAACCATTTATAGCCTATTTAATTATAATGATCTTTATAGAAGAAAATGACGTCTATTCCACTTAATACTTTATTTAATGGCTTAAAATTCAATTACCAAAGATTTATATATATCAAATATAAAGATGAGGATTTTACCTTTATAACTCTTAAGATTATATTTGTCAAAAATATTTTATTTATTAATTTGTATATAATTACCATTTTTTATTAACTTAAGTCAACGCCACACTTGAGGGTTAACAAAACACTATTTTATTTATTTTGAATGTTAAAGACTATACTCAAATTTTTATAACAGAATGAACCTGAAATATGGTCCTTTTTTAAAATACCTTTGATCAACATTTTATAATAAATTATACAACTTTAAAGGTTAAGAAGAGGTATATGCTTGAAATAAAATATTGCTTGTCAAATCATGGCCTTAATTAGGAAAATTGTTTTGAATATAATATTTTTAGAATATATGTTAAAAATAAAATAATAATATCCATTATCAAAATATAATTATGTATTTATAGTTAATCTTGTTTCAAAATATTATTAAATTATTTATTTTGAAAGAAATATTGATTGAGGCTATGATACGGGCTAAACTAATAAACCAATATTAATAAAATTGTGAGAGCTATCCTATATCCATATTTTTTAAATTATGTTAGTATATACAAACATAAGATTCTTAAATCTTTAGCAATAATGCAAGAAAACTACAAAATATATTTTAGGATTAAAAAAAAACAATGGCAAAAAAACCCCTATGAATAAAAAACAGTGGGGAAAAAATTATTAATAAAATAACTTTATACTGCTAAAAATTAATTTTTAAGTATCTGGAAAAATAATTTATTATTATATTTTAAATAAAACCGAATTTAATTATACATTAAATACCATGCATCAGTGACGTAGCTACTGGGGGGGGGGGCTCTGGTTTGGTTAACCCCAGAGCAATATTTTTTTAGGTTATACGTTCAAAAGACTCAAAAGTGACTTTATATCAAATAAATACAATGAATATTTATATTTCTGGTTTTGATAGGCTTGAGCAATATTTTTTTGGCTAAAATATTGCGCTGTTTATATTATCAGCTCAGATAGAGCCGTTTAACAAGACTAATTAAAATGATAAGTTATTCTAGGAATTTTATATTATAAGGAAAACATATATTATTTTTAAGATAAACCAGAACGAAGGCCGGGCAAAAGGACCGAAAGCCCATTAATGGGGGGTCTGAGGGGCGCACCCCTATAGGTTTTAATATGTATTGACCAATTCTAAGTTTTTTAGCTACGCCAATGTTATGCACATTATGTCCAATGTATCGATTAAATTTAAGGGGAACGTCAAAAATTCTTACCTAGATAAATATTTAGTATTTAATTTTATAGGTGACAATATACAGGCTTTTTTGAATAAATGGATGAATAATTTATATTATGAAATTTTTTTAATTTATATCCACATTGAAAAAAAAAAAATTTTCAAAAATGTAGAATTCCTAATATTTTGATATATTATATATTATAGAATTTTCTTATTTATAAATTGAAATAGTTTTTTATATAAAATTATATTCAAAAATTAACATAAAATTTTTTTTTAATTGCAAAAAAAGATAAAGAAAGCACTTTAAGAAATTAAAAAATATATAATTTATTGAAACAAAAAAATATAACACAATATTTTAAATAATAATTATTTATATATTTTTAATAGGAATATTAAGTAAGAAAAATATCACAATTTCTAAAATAAACATATTAAAATTCTTAATAAATTATTTAAATAATTTATTTATATAAAATAAATTAAAGAAAAATATAAAGATATCAAAGGTAAATATGATAGGCATATAATTCAATTTATTAAAATTAGAATAAGAAATTTTCATATCTCAAGAAAACTGAACCAAATTAAGCACATTTATTTCAAATTCTATTATTTAATTTTTATATTAAAAAGAATGATTATTTTAAATGAGAGATTTTTTTTTCTAAACCGTTTATTCAATTCAATAGGATTAAAGATTATATATATATTCAACACAATATATATTATTATTTAAATTTAATTAGATTTTTCAGAATTACAACTTAAATGTAAGTATTTTATTTATTATTAATTTGAAAATGTTATAACCAAATTAGCTGTTTAAAATTAGAGTTTCCTAAATATAATTTCCAGTCATGTCAAGTTTTTTTGATAAAATTAAAATTATAAGCTTTTCCTCTTTTACAAAATCAAAATCTTAAAACTATATTTTAAAATTATTTTAATTTTGATTTAAATACTTATTCTTCTTTTTTATTTTTCTCAACAATTTTTTGAATAATCATATTTGATCTATAATTGAAATAAAAATTTTCTACATTAATTTGGATGCTACACTTCTGTTCTTTTTAAAATAAATGTTTTTCTATCAGGAGTTATTGTTGTCTAAAAAAATAAGCGGTCCATAATACCTCTAAATCAATTGTTACCTCTATTTTTCATTACAAATTTATTTTCTTCTTTGCCTGCTTGAAGTAGGAAAATATTCTCATGATAAAATTTTACCTAGCAAAATATTTTAAAATTTTCTTAACATCTTATATTAGAAAATTGGGCCCATTTTCGTATAAAAAATAATTTTTCAATTCGTTAATCCTCAAAATTTCATTATCTTAATGTATACACCAAATAAAAAATATATAACCCCCCACCATTAGTCATTTTTTTTTTCGAAAATAAATTTTATTTTTACTCTATTATGATCGATAATCCTTGAAACATTTAGAACTGATGCTAAGGGCCTATAAATTCAATAGTCAAATACAAAACCTACTAGCCACAATATATTTATGGTATTGCGTCATTACAGAGAAACTTTTACAGAGAAAACAATTATAGAGAAACTTTTACAGAGAAAACCATTATAGAGAATGTCGTTTATAGAGAATTATTTTATAGAGAATGTATTTAACAGAGAAATTTTTATAGAGAAAACAATTATAGAGAATGTCGTTTACAGAGAATGATTTTACAGAGAATGATTTTACAGAGAATGATTTTACAGAAAATGATTTTATAGAGAATGATTTTATAGAGAATGATTTTATAGAGAAAGTTTTTATAGAGAATGATTTTACAGAGAATGATTTTATAGAGAATGTATTTTATAGAGACTTATTTTAAATTTTTTTTTATTAAATATGATTATTTTATAAAAAAAATTTTTAAATGATTATTTTATAAAAAATGTTATAATTTTTTTTTGTAATGTGTGCTCTGCATAGTCAAAGTGGGAAAAAAATTAATGAAATATTAAAATTACCTTATATAAGCTAATTATTGGGCAGTTTTTATTGTAAGAAAATTATTACAATCGGCAAAATATTAAGAGTTAGTTGTGAAACACGGATAATTCTTTTTTTATTTAAAATATATTTTTCACCTTAATCGTACAATCAATGTGCTATATCAAAATATTTTTATGGCATAATTGTTTGGTTATCAATTGAAAACAATCTATGTTATTTTATATAAACGGCTCTCTATCATTTTTTTTTTCTATAAATTTTTTTCTATATAATTGTCTTTTTCTGTAAATTTTTTCACTTTTTTTTTAAAAAATTATGGCTGAATTTATTTTAAGTAGTCGAAACAATCAGTTACTACTTCTTGATTTTTACCTCTTTCAAAAGGAAAAAACATCAAATCAAACAACCTATTGGAGATGTATTCAATTCCATGTGGATTGAATGCAGTGGGCCACGCCCGAACTAAGAATTGAATACCTATATTCCACAATAAAAAACATAATGTACCAGACATTGCTGATATTGAAGCAAAAAAAGAGATGAATAAAATCAAACAAGAGGCTTCTAGTACCCAAATAATATAATGGCCGATATATCTAGTATATCTATAGCCGCCATTGGGAAAATGCCTAGTTGTTCCTTAATTAAAAGGACAATTCAAAGAAAAAGACGCCAAGTAGGAAGAGCGCCTGCCGTTCCCTTAAGCCTGATACTTGGTCATACCTATTGAATATCAATTATCAATAATGATGAACATTTTTGTTATATGATAGTGGTCATCATGATCACCGATGCCTCATATTTTCAACCATAAAAAATTTAAAATTTTTATCAACATGTGATAAATGGTATGCAAATGGCACATTCAGGACATGTCCTCCTCTCTTCCAGCAAATATACACCATCCACGGGATGAAACATAAAACCATTATCCTAGCTATTTATGTCCTGATGACATCAAGTCGCCAACAAAATTACCTTAATATTTTCAATCAAATAAAAAATTTCCAAATTTTTTTAAATCCTAAATTCATCATGATCGACCTTGAATTAGCAGCCTTATCTGCTTTTAAACAGTCGTTTCCACTGACTGCGATCCGCGGGTGCCTGTTTCATATGTAGCAATGCATATGGCGCACTGTTCAAAAAAATTCATTAATTTGCAATGCATATAAAACGCTAACATATTTTTCTATGTACATAAAAACGTTAATGTCACTGCATTCAAAGTATTCTATCAAGGGGGCGAGAATATCCCTATTTTCTTGATAGAATTCAGAGGTACATAATTCCTCGAATCCATGAATTACATCCTCTACTGGTACATATGCCAGTGACATTAACATTTTTATGTACATAGCAAAATTTGTTTGCGTTTTATATGCATTGCAAATTAATGAATTTTTTTGAACAGTGCGCCATATGCATTGCTACATATGAAACAGGCACCCGCGGATCGCAGTCAGTGGAAACGACTGTTTAAAAGCAGATAAGGCTGCTAATTCAAGGTCGATCATGATGAATTTAGGATTTAAAAAAATTTGGAAATTTTTTATTTGATTGAAAATATTAAGGTAATTTTGTTGGCGACTTGATGTCATCAGGACATAAATAGCTAGGAAAATGGTTTTATGTTTCATCCCGTGGATGGTGTATATTTGCTGGAAGAGAGGAGGACATGTCCTGAATGTGCCATTTGCATACCATTTATCACAT